ATACTTCAGCTGGGGGAACACACCAGTGCGACGGCTCACCACGCCGCTGATGCGCACCAGGCAGTTGAGCTGCGACTGGCGTAGGTCGCGCAGCGAGCACGTCGTTGGCAGCTCAGCAATGCGCACATGGATCTCAGACCGGATTCGTGCGTAGTCCGGGAACATGGTCCGGACAGCATCCATGGCCACATCGTCCATGATGGCCAGGATTTCGCGCGGAGCATTGGCCAAAAAGTAGGCGATCAGCGGCCGCGACTGGGCCAGGTGCGAGTACGTGACCTCGAGGCTCTCGGCGTTGGCAGCGCCCAGCTGTCGGATACGCTCACCATACACCGAAGCGCCCTTGTCGTCAACGTACGACAGCAAGAAGTGGCGGAATTCGCGGGCAATCGTCTGGCGCGGGCCCGACTCGCTGACCCACGCGGCCACTGTGCGTCCCTTCATGTCCTTCAAGTCATCGAGCGTCAGCGCGCGCTCCTCGTCGCGCACCTCCATGGCCATATCAAGCAGGTGGGCATGCTTGCTCTCGAGTGCGCCTGCTCCGCGGCGCCGCGTACGCCCAAACCGCCGGGCGTCCTCCTCGTCCTCAAAGTCCTGCATGAATGCAAGCGGGATACGCGACTTGGGCTGGCCAACCCCCTCCTCAAAGTCACGCCGCCTCAGCCGTGCCTCGACGCGTGCCCTGGCCGCTGGGTCCATAGCCGCAAACTCGGTTTCGTCCAAAAGCTCCTCGTCATACTTGTCAAGCTCAGCGTTGTAGCGGTAGTCGCGCTCCATGCTTGGGCCGAATAGATCTTCTCCCTCCTCGTCTTCTTGCTCCAGTGCTAGCATTTCGCCCTCGTCGTGGATCTCTTCGTCTAGATCAACGTCGCCGAGCCGGTCAGGTAGGTCCCGCTCGAGCTCGTCTTCGTTATCATCCTCTTGTGTGAATCCGGGGAATGGCGAAAATGGTGGTGGGCTGGACGGTGGCAGTGCTGGGTCTTCAGCCATATGCACCGGCGAACTGGAACCAAATAACAAGCCTCCACCGGGCGTCTGCGGGTACGCCTCGCGGTCCTCGTCGTCCGAGACCGGGTCTGCCGGGCGCTTACGGTTCTGGTCGTTAGACTACGTGCAGGCGACTGATGTTGTTAGTAGAAGCCGGGGGAGTTGGTGCTGAATCTGCGGCAGACATCTGCATGCTGGCTTACCATTTTGTTTGTGGTTTAAGGAGAGGGTAAATGCGCTAAATGAAGAATGTTAAAGTCGGGCCAAGCACGAAAAGACGGCTGCCGGCCAGAAAAACTCGGTGCCGATTTTATTGTCAACAAAGCCTACAAGTGATCACATCGCCAGGATTGGCGATTAAATCTAGCACGTCGCGTTCTTCTGCGGCGCAGCAGTGCAGACACCATAGCAGCGTGAAAGAGGAAGAGTGTTTACATTTGTCGACATGGGATAGAAGGAAATAAGGTGAAGCGAAATAAAAAGTAGGTGAGGTGGTATGGGTGCGTGGAGATGCGGGCGAGGAAAGCGATCGTGGGCTCACACCCGGCCAAACACAGTCTTGCGCTTGTTGGCCATCTTGAAAGACTGCTGCTGCTGGATGTGGTGCTCGCACAGGAACCGCCCATTCAGGTTATAATAGACGTCACGCAGCGGGTCCTTGCACACGTCGCACGCAAAGCAGTGCGGGTGGAACCGGCCCTCATAGACCTGTGCACACGGGCCCTCGATCGGGTCGTGGCAGGCCGCACACAGCGACCCGTTGAGCCGGTGGTAGTCGAAGCGGCAGTACGGCATCTGCTCAAACACATAGAATGACTTGTCGGGGAACGGTTTCCGGCACTCTTGGCAGGTGAAGCACCGCCGGTGCCACCACGCATCTAGTGCGTGGACCGAGTCCTTGGTTGATCCGCAGGGCTGCAAGCACGACTTGCACACAGGGCTGCTTTTGGCTGTACCATGCTGGTGAGCGGCCTGAGGTTGTGCCTGATGTTGGTGATGGTGATGAGGATGGCTATGCTGTGTGTTTTTGTTGCTGCTGCTGTTGTTAGGAGCAGGCTTGGGAACAACTGGTTGGTACTTTGACAGGTCCGGCTGATTTTGCTGTTGATGGTTTTGCCGGCTGTGGCTGTGGCCATGAGTATGACGTGGCTGGTGGCGCTCACACAGATAGCTGACGGAGTCGCCGTCACCGGGGACCTGGAACAGGCTGGGGTTGTTTGCATCCAGCAGCCTGTCGCACTCGGTGCATCGGAAGCACATGCGGTGGAATACGTGATTGCCCACGCAAACTGGGCTGCTGTTGCCAATCCTACCGCGGCATGCGAAGCACGCGGCGCCTGTGGACAGCGTGCTGCTGCTGCTACTGGTGCTAACCGTGCTATTGAGCCGCGTCTTGCGCGTATTCTGTGCCAGCACGCTGTCGTGTGTGGGCGACGCCGGTGAGTTCCGGAAGCTAGCCGTACTGCTTGCCATGCTGTCGCGGTCCGACTCCGTCCGCATCTCCACATTCAGAGCCTGCATTTCATCCATCAGGTCATCGAGCAGCAGGTCGAGCTTGTTGGTGCGGCCGCCGCTCTTGGCCGATAGTGACCCGGCCGAGTTGCCCCCAGACGCGCTCTTCGGCCCGCCAGTCAGCTTCCCGCTAGCTATCGCCCCGTGCGTGTCAAGCGCAGCCAGCGGACTGTTCGACTTTTTGCCAACAGCTGACAGTGGAATACCTCGACTAGCTGTGCCGCCGGGCTGTTTATTGCGTGGCAAAGAGATGGGCGCGGGTTTGAGCGGCTGAGGCTGGTGCACTCTGGCGCTCGGTGCATGGTGGTGGGTTGGGCTGGTTGGAACCTCGTTCAGAAGCGACGACAGAATGTCGAACGAGCTCTGCATGGACGAATCCTGCGGCATAGCGTTTGGTGATCCAGGCGAATAAGTTGAAGAGGGAGCAGGAGCAGAGAGAGCCGATGGTCCGCCATCGGTCTGGACCGACCCTTTACGCGAAATGCGGATCTGGCTGTCGGCAGTAGGAGTTGGGAGTTTGTAGTTGGCACCGCCTTTCTTCTTCATTGACGACGGCGGCGATGCTGTCACAGGCAGCGTTGGGGGTTTTGTCTTTGGCACAATGCCCACGTCAATGCGCTTGTTCGTGGTGCTGTTGTCTGTCTGTGACCGCGACGCCTTCGTAACTGTGGGCAGGATACCGGTACCTTTCGAGCCACTGCTCTTATTGTGCACTGTAGACGGGAGGCTTGCACCACCAGCCTTGTTTTGCCACGGGATTGAGTCTGCTGGTGTTTTGTTCACGGGGCTCTTTGTCAACGGCACAGGTGTCTCGTTTGGGCTCTTGAAGCCTGGCCGGGAGTTTGACGGGGGGAGTGAGCTCAGCAGCTGCTCGCGTGCCTCCTCGAGCCGTGTTGAATTGCTCCGCGACATCTCAACACCAAAGTTAGCGGGGCGGCTGCGCGGAGACTGCACCTCCGACTGGGACCGCTGCAGCGACGCAACCTTTTCGGCAACACTACCTGAGATATCTGGCTTGCTGGTTTTCGGTATGTTGAGTGACTTTGCTGCTTTTAGTCCAGGACTAATCCCATCTCCGCCAAACATCCCTTGCTGGGCAGGGGCTGGTGACCGTCGGTCAATGCCCTGGTGATGATGGTGCTGTTGCTGTTGCTGCTTCTGTTGTTTCTGCTGCAACATCGGCATCGGCATCGGCGACTGTCTGCCCATCATCCCTTCGCTACTGTCGTACACGCCCATGCTACCGCCTTCATGTTGTGCGTCTGCTGAATAATTGCCCGCCGTGACCACAGGATCGCTGCTACCGCGCAGCCCCGCCATATACGCATCAATCGACGCCGTACTGCCGTTCATCTGCGAGTGCGGGTCGTGGTCAAAGAACCCCGAGTTGTTGTGTGCCGCACTCGTCGAGCCAGGCAGTATGCTTGCGAAATCAAAATCGTCAGGCGCATCCGGAGCCTCGGCGAGGAAGTTCAACGCCGGCTTGTATGCTGCTGGAAACGCCTTGCTTTCGACATCCTTGCGCGCCTGCGCCGACATTGCTGGTGTGCGCTGCGCGGGCATCTCGTCCAAATGCTCCAAGTTGTCGCGTGGGTTGATGCCGGGCCCGTCAAAAATCGTGCTCAGCCCCCGGCTGGCATATGCTGCTGGTAGCGAGGGCACTACGGGCTGCTGTGGGCACTGGTGCTGTCCGATCATCCGGATGTGCACGTCCTGGTTGCACTGCGCGCACTTCATCGTCGGAATCACTGTGCTGTCGCGCGGTCCGCGGCCCATTATGTGCGACATCGTCGTGTATGTGTGGTGAAATAAAGTATATGCGATGGAAAAATAAATCTATGAGACGATGCAAATAAGAGAAGGCTGTATGAGTGAGGGGAATGTGGAAGCGAATGCCATAGAAATGAGGTTTGGAGGGACGAAAAGACTGAAAACAGGCAAAGAGGAACGCAGTAGACCCGGTTTCCTATTATTATTTCGTGGTTCCTTTTTTGTTCGGTCTTGTGCCAGGCAGAAAGAAAAATCAGCTGGGCAAGACTGGGGAAGGGCAAAAACTCGCAAACGGGAGGCAAGGAGAGACAAAATAGTCCCAAAGGACAAAAGATTGGGGAGAAAGGAAAGCGAAGGTCGTCAATCCGTACACCGCGTGGTCAGACTGGGACAGAAAATGACAAGAGGTGCTCTGCGGTTGAATAAAAGACGTAAAAATTGGTATAATGCGTTTCTTTCTTCTGGTGGGATAGTGGTGGTAGCGGGGTGGCAAGAACAACAGCTGGCAAAGGTGGCGCTGCAGCCTGCTGTGGGAAATAATGCGACTAGACCGTCAGCATACAGCGGCTCAGACATGTGGTCCGCCTCGCGGTCCAGCCAGAGATAACCCTGTAGGCTGAGCGGGATCCAAGAAAAAGAGCAAGCGTAGAATGGCCCGAGTCACCAGCAACATCAATGTCAATAGCAATTGCCCATTGCCCATCGATAGTCGATGGTCGATGGTCGAGAAGCAGAAACCCCGTTCTCGGCCAAAAACAAATAAATTGAACCTTTTTTCGCAAAACAAATTAGGAAGCGGTCCCGCCAGTCCCCACCACCACATCCTAGAAAAAGCAATCATATCCAGGATCTGAGCGCTTCAGAGAGGCCACCAAAATAAAAATAGCTCAAAAACAAACACACACACAAAGCACAGCACAAGCGAAGCAGATGCAGTCCAGCTTGGAAAGCAAAGCCTCGGTATATGCGGCAGGGGAATGGGAGATGAGGCAGCGATGAGGTAATGGCAAGGAGGAGGAGAGAGAAAGAGAAAGAGACTGCCGCGTGGCAGGGCGCCAGGCAGCAGCAGCCTTTAATGCGCTTGCATCTGGCTGAGGCGGGCGGCAGACGAATGGGGCGTGAATTCCGAATAGCTGCCAAGAGCGCCGTTGGAGAACTGCACGTAATCCACGATTACAGGCAAGCCTCTCTCCACACCCTGCCTCACAGCTGGTCGTTTTGTCAGGGGCCAGCAGTAAACAAAAACAAGGTCGTAGCGGAGATGGGCCCAGCAATGGTGTTTGCGCCATCTGTGGAGGGGTCCATGTTTGCTTTGGCCAGAGGCACAAGTGCGATACGGGCTCACGAGCAGCACATCCCTGCTTTGCACTGCCGTGAAACCACGCCAGCAAGCTGGTACGCATGCTGGTACGCATGCTGGTACGCATGCTGGTGTGGGAAGGGGTGAAAGAACGCAGTGGATATACTTACACAATACTAAGGTTCAGGAGGACAGATCACTGCTGTGTCTGGTCGCGTTCAGGGAGCAGACGAGCAATATCCAGGTGGTATCGCTCTTTTACGTCTTTTTTTCGGCGGGTAAGGCAGTTGCCAAGAGGAGAACGACGCCTGAAAGATATGAATAGAATGGCAATGAATAAATATAGACGATAATAAACTAGCGTGCAAAGAAAAGAACGAAATATGCCCAGGGCAGCAGAAACGGAAAAAGAAAGCAGGCTCATCTTGTAGTTTCTTGGATGGAATTGAACACTGCGTTTTGCCTTGTGTCCTTCGCCTAATGCTTGCTGGCATTGGATTTGCCTAGAAAAATGGATGAAAATATTGGACGTCTTGTCGCTGCTACCGCCAGGCCTGCCTGCCGATCCCCCGACCAGCCTGCTCGGGTGCTTGATTGTCAACAACCATCTTTTCCGTTCTCCACTCAGCCCTGGTTCGCAGGCAATATGCAAAGCTATGTGCAGCTGAGGTTATCACATTGGAAAATGAGGGACCGGGTTGGCTGTGCTGACGCGTGTGGATCGTCGCCCATCTGCAAAAGCGCTGGGTTCGTGTACTGTTAATTGACCGGGCTCGCAGAGCAGGACAATCTGTTCCCGTTTCATAAAAACTACGGGCCAGCCTACACTTCCAGGCACTCGTTTTTATCTTTTGCTCTTTCTTTATACCTGCCCACATCTCTCGTCAAAAGCGAGAGAGAAAAGGAAGAGGAAGGGGTGTAGCAATGCTGAATGCAGCCGTCGCTTGCATTCCACCTTGCTGTTTTGGGCAAGAGCATGTGGAGGCATATTGCAGCATGTTTCCCACCTTACAGCTTGGCTGCAGCTATACATCCCCTTCAAGCAATCATCCATTCTTCAACAGGCAATCGAGCGCGAGGCCTTGCCTGTTAATGTAAGCCGCGGGTTATTTGCTCTATCTGAGGAGCAGGCTGTGTTGTTGGCTAGGCGCTCCACGCGGGAATCCTGCATGTCTTGCCGTCCCCCTTCGTTCCTCCGAACCACCACATCACATGCTGGCGCACTACAGTCGTGCATATATTTCTCCACAAGGCTAGTATGCAAAAGCTCGCATTGAATCAAATCAGCGGTCAGAATCTATATTGCTTCACCGCAGACGGGCCTTGGTCTCCAAAAACTCCTTGGCTTCGTTAATCTTGGTGGCCATGTATGGCGAGCCGCCACGATCCGGGTGGTTGAGCAGCATGATGGTGCGGTGGGCCCGCTTGACCTTGTCTTTGGTCAGCGACGACTCCTTCAGGCCCAGGATCAGCGCCGCCTCGCGCTTGCTCATCTTGGGGTCAAACCCGCCCTTGACAAACTGCTTGGGCACCGAGGTCACGCCCTTCAGCGCTGGTCCGCCCGACGCCCTGCCCTTGGAGAGCACTTTGAGCATAATCCCGCAAGCGGCAGCGCCAGCGAGGCCGCAGCCGATCATGACCGGTGTGTTGAACTGCTGTTTGTCCGAGTGTCCCGAAATTGCGCTCATTTTGTGGAGTGGGAAATGTGAGAAAGTATGCTGAATTGAGGCAAGAAAGCAGCGACGAGTAGGTTTGCATGCCCAAGATTAGAGTAAGTGTCGCGAGCCGAAGCGAAAAATGGTTGGAATCGAGCTGGTCCGAGCTGTGAGCCGGGTGGCCCGAGGTACAGGCATGCTTTTGCCAGAAACATCGCAGCAGCAGCAGCAGGCTCGGTGTTGCGCTTCTTGCACACACACCCGGCTTTTTCCCCCATTCCCCAGACTTTCCAAGCACCATGACCAGGAAGAAGAGGAGCAGCCCAGAGGGCGCAGCAGGCCACGGCACAGCGAATAAGCGCCTGAAGCTTGTAACGGGAAGGACAGGCCGGCGAGGGCATCCGCAGGAGAAGTCTGCCAGAAAAGAATCTGCAGCCGGGCCGCTGGCGCCCAAGCTGCGTAAATATTGGAACCAGCGATTCGACTACTTCTCACGCTTCGACGAGGGCATCCAGATCGACAACGAGGGCTGGTACTCTGTGACGCCAGAGGCGATTGCCGAGCACACAGCGCGGCGCATCTCGCAGCTCTACAACAGCCGCAGCCAGGACGAGGACTTTGGGCGTATCTGCGTCGTTGATGCGTTCTGTGGCGTGGGTGGCAATGCAATAAAGTTTGCCGAGTGGTGCGAGCATGTCATTGCCATCGATGTTGATCCAGGCAGGCTGCAGATGGCCAGGAACAACGCAGCGGTGTATGGCGTGGCTGACCGCATCGAGTTCATCCTGGGCGACTTTTACGAGCTGGCGCCGTCGCTGAAGGCTGACGTGGTGTTTCTGAGTCCGCCGTGGGGAGGGCCCGAGTACCAGAGCACGAAGGTGTTTGATCTGGATGCGCTGCCAGTCAAGACAGGGCAGCAGTGGGTGGATCGGGCCCGGCTGATCTCGGATAATGTGGTGTGCTTTTTGCCGCGCAACTGCAGGCCAGAGGACCTGGCTGCTCTGACACCGGCGCTGCCGTGCGATATCGAGATGAACCGGATAAACGGGTTTCTCAAGGCCGTCTCGGTGTACTTTGGCCAGCTGGCGACCTTTGGCAGCATCGATCCGCGCCCGGCCGACTTTTAAACCCAAAAGTCCTGCAGGCGTGATTGACCAGCATACAAGCGGGGGCGTGGGTGTGCGGCACGGCGGCTTGGCACGCCCCGCCACGTAGTCCCTCTAGCCAACCCCCAGCTGTCTTTTATTCTCGCATTCTTCCACACTGTAGCTTGAGCCGCATATAAAAGGTCTGCACTCTTTCCGGGAATTGAAAGCACATAGCAATATCATATCCTGACATGGCTGTAACATTGACGGACGAGGGCGTGTATGTGCAGCGCAGCCTGCAGCGGTGCCAGAAGCAGCTGGCCGACGGGTTCACAGAGCCGCTCGATGCCGAGCAGCTGCGGCGAATTGCAAACATAGAGAGAATAGTTGCCAGCGCACTCGAGGGCGATTTGCCAGAGCAGTGCAAAAGCCTGGCGGAGGATGTCAATGAAAAGGCGTCGCCGTGGATCGAGCGGAAGACGCAAATGATGCAGTGGCTGAAGCAGCGGAATGGCGAGAAGCAGCCAGCACAACAGGCCAAGGAAGAAGAGGAGGAGGAGGAGAAACACTCGGACGCAGTGGTAGTCAATGACGCCTGCACGGTGGCTGCGGCTGATGCTGCAGAGACTCCCGAAAGCAGACACACTCAGAGCTTGGGGCTGGAAGGCGGCGCGCCAAGAGCAATCAAGCGGGAGCACTCGTCGCTGTCGGGCAAGCGCCAAGGTAAGAAGCGACATACATATGCGCAGACCGAGTCTGCCAGAAATGTGAAGCTGAGCGACGGCATCTTGTGCCTGTAGAGCTGCTCGGCGAAATGGACGGGCTTCGGCGTCGCGGGGTGGTGCCTGACACGGTAGAGGGCGTCGAGCGGCTGCTAAAGTCGCAGCGGTCGACGCAGGAGGATCTGACCAATGATCTGGTGCAAATGGCGTCGATTCTGAAGAAGAATACGCGGGCTTTCGGCGATGTGATTGAGCGCGACAAGCATGTGGTTGATGAGACAGCCGAGGCGCTGGGCAGCAACCTGGCCAGCATGGACAAGCAGGGCTCGCGGCTCAGCAAGTACCGCAAGCAGGCGTGGGGCACGACCGGGATCACGTGGCTGGCGGTGCTGGTGGTTGTATCAGTGTTCTTTGTGCTGGTGCTGTTCATGAGAATAGCGCCCAAGCGGTATTAGCTGTTGTTTACAAAAAAGGACGCGTTCCCTTCTTTGGGCCAGCGCACAGCATGGAGCGGCATGGGGAGGGAGGCGAGGGGCCGGGATGGAGAAGATCGCTGGTGGCCCGGTACATGGTCATTTGGGGGGATGGCAAGGTCGAGCCAGCAATCGGAAGGCCACTGGCGTTCGGCCGCTGCTGATGCTGAGGTGGTGCTGGTGCCGACGCTGTTGGTGGTGTGAGTGTGTTGCGCATCATGGGGGCTGCAGCGACATACGGCTGCTGGCTGCGTGCGTGCGGGCGGTGGAGGAGGGCTGGCTCAGCGCGTGGTCCCTCTCCTCTGCGCGGCTGGTGGGGGGATTTGCCTTGCGAGCGGCCAAAGGGACGCGCCGCTTGCAAGTCAGATGCACCTTTCCCGGACACCGCTCGTGTCAAAAGGCGCTGCAGACGCCGCCCTTGCCAATTCGGAATGGACGGGGAGCCTGCTGCGTGCTGGCCAGTGGTGGTGGGGGCATGAGTTCAGAGCCCTCTTTCACAATGGCGTCCCATTCTCGCCTGCGTGTTTTTGTTGGCTGGGCATTTCTTTTTTGCTTTGGCAATAAACGGGCGGACTCGCCCTTATTTTCGAGAAAATCTTCTATTTTTTGTCGCTCTGTGCCAGTATCGCCTTTTTCACGCAACCTTTACTTTTTTTCGTTGGCCTTCCCCCTCCTCTCTTCCTCGCACCCGCCTTCCTCTTTTCCTCTGCACCCCCTCTTTCTCTTGTATATCCTCCAACCTCCTCCTCCTTCCACCCTCTGTTATTTGCCACCAGCTTTTTGCAGCCTAGAATCGGTTCCTTCTAATTACTTCAGCTCGCTTGCATTCTCGGCACAACCAAGAACCCACCTTTCCGTATTGTTTATAATCATCGCTCAGAGGGTTTTATTTTCCGTTTCGGCGCCGCCAACAGGGATAAGCAGCTAGCGACAGCCCGGAACCACACGCTACATCTCAGGAACGACGTGGGTAGCAAGGGCCACGCGCGTACTTTCCTCGGACAAACCACACCGCCCCTGCACAGAGGGCCGTCACCTTGTATTTGCCAGCGGGTATACACACGGCACAAGCGGCAAATTGCGCTCAGGTAAGGACCACAGCACTCCTCGCTCTCTGTAGCAGGATGCCATCGCCCACCATTGGCCGTTGTGGGCGGGCTGTTTGCAGGCAGGCAGGCGGCCAGGCTTTGCTGATGCCGCTGTTGCAGCCCGTCTCAGGCGAGCATGGGCCTGTTGTTGCATGATAAAACGGGATGGGAAAAAAAAGCTGCACGTTCATCACCCCTCTGGCAGGATTGCTGTCATTTTTCTCTTCGCTCGTCTACATCGCAAAAGTGTCTCATGGCCCTCTCTTGTTTCTCTCGCTGCTGCCGCCGTGGTGCTAGGGGAGAGACGAAAAAAGGGCTGTCTTGAATATTCCCCTTTTGCCAGGCAGCGAGAATGGCACAGGGCCGGCCTGAAAGAAGGCGCGGGCAGTAGGCCGGTGCTTGGGCTAGAATGAATGAATAGACAGGGTGTATATGAGCACTTATTTTCAATATACGGGCCTCTCCCTCCCCCTCGCGCTCACACGCCCTCCAGCCCTGTTTCCTGCTCTTGCTGCGTTCGGGCCTTGGCCCCATCGTCGAGACATCCCACACAGCATTCCCGCTCTCATTTTCTCCACGTTATTCTTGCGCATTTTCTTGCTGCTGCTCTCCTCACGACATCCACGAGAAACCAGCACACCCCTTTCTCGGCAAACAAGTCTCACATCTTGCTTTGATGCTGCTTCTCCCACACATGCACACCCGCACGCACACACGCAGGCAGAAATGCAGAGGGCCATTTTCCGCTTTCTCCATGCCAAATCTCTACTTGCTTTTTTTTACTCACCAGCCTGTGCGCGCGTCTTGCCCGTTTAATTTTTATATAGGATTACATGTCTGGTGCGGGAGTCGACAGGGCGGGCGCTGGGCATCATGGCAGCGGATTCCACATTTTGCCAAACGAAGTGATTGTCATTCACGACTCGAGCAGCGAGAGCGATGAGCAGTCGGAGCCCCGCATGCCGCGGCCAGCAGCGCACAACGAACACGCCCCCAGTCTATATTACAATTCGCTCTACGACACTACTAGATTCGACGACGGCAGCAGCAACAGCAGCGTTACTGTACATAACCCCGGTGTCTCGCACTATGCGTCGCCACGATCAGAGCTGGCCAGCACTGCGCATTACGACGGTAAAGTATCCATTTTCTTCTCCGCAAATGCGACAATCTTGCTCAGGCCGAAGAGAGAAAAATGGGCATCTCTTTTGGACAGCGAAGCGTCGTTATCTTGGACATTTCCCTCTTCCTAATCTCCCTTTTTTATTCGCTTTAGGCACGGTTTCAGCCACTACAGCTCCAACTGCTGCATCTTCTTCAAGAGTTGCCGCCGCCGCTGCCGCCACGACTGCTACTGTAGCCGCTGCCGAAGAGACGCAGCCGCATGCCTCGGCGCCTTCAGTCACAAATTCATCCTCCACTGCGACAGCAACCGACATTGTGCCGCAACCACGCTACCTGACCAGATCCGTTGTCCAGAACGCAGCCAAGCGGAAACAGCTGGAACAACAGATGGTGTACCAACAGCAGCAGCAACAGCGGCAACAACAACAACAGCAACCACAACAACAACCACAACAACAGCCTGCTTCTGCAGCCGCTGCCGGAAACCACCAGCAGTTTGCCTACAGCACCTTCTCATTCACAGCACCTTCCTCTAACCACCACCACCACCACCACCATCAGCAGCAGCAGCAGCAGTATGCAGCGACAATATCCCAGCAGCCGCCGCTTACTACTGGCTCTGCCAGCGCACACCCCAACGTATATTATTCGCAGCAACAGCAGCAGCCGGCATGGACATCCAGTGTTTTGTATCAGGCAGCACGGGCTGTCGCAGCAGCGGCAGCGGCAGCTCCTCCTGCCCAGCAGCCGGCAGCTCCACAGACAACAGCAGCCGAGGCAGCAGCAGCAGCAGCAGCAGAAGCAGCAGCCCCGCCTCCACCGCCAGCCAAGCGGCAGCGCAAGGCAGCAGCGGCCAAGACTCAGCGGGGAGGTCGTGCCCGCGCGACGCAGCGCTCAAAGGTAAGTCCCACATGTCTTGTCTACATTGCTCTGGATGGTGCAGGATGTGCACATTTTCTCTTTTTTTTTTCTCTCTCTCTCTCTCTCTCGCTCGCTGCAAGCGCGATCCCGGGCTGGCATAATAGTGGGCCCTTTCCCCTCATTGCTCTGCGAAAAAAGCGGAAGATTTCAAAGCACACAAGGGATTTGCTCCCCCAATTGACCAGACGACGCGTCAAAAGAGCAAAGCGAAGGGAGAGTGGTGTTCGCTATTTTTCTCGCCTGGGCCAGCTTTGGAATGCACATTCCGATATTGTCCATTTGGGCCCGAGGTTTTGCATGGGTCGCCATCATTCATGCCCAGCTTGCTCGTGCGGATGGGCCCAACACTGGCCTCCCCGCATTCATGCCTGCGCGTTTCTGCATTCTCTCCTCTTTTGCCCACCCGGGTGGGGTTGTTTGTTTGTTTGTGTTGAGGCCTGTGGAGAGAGCATCGCATTCGCGATCAGTGGGATATCGCCTCTTGGCCGGCGACGGGCTATGCTGCGGGAGAAAGCGCAGCGGTGGTGTCTAGGCACCGACGCCTCGGGCTGCATTCCGCGGGCATTGGTGCTTGCGTCCGTGCATCAACTGGCTGGGAGCGATAGGGGGAGAGGTGCTCTGACAGTGCGACTGCTCTCTGTTGAGGGGCGGACGCCATTATCGCCCCCTCCCCCTCTCAGCGATCTGCTGCGAGATGTGGTTTACCCAGCTCCAATGCACTGGCAGCCAGGGTCCGCTTGGCGGCGGCATTTCTCCCCGATCGCTCTGCACGCCTGTTTTCTTTGGCCGACCGCGTCAAATATAAACGCCGGCGTGCTCGCCTATGCCCAATCGCCCGCGGCATGTTTATCCTCAGGGTCACACAGTGCTTCTAGTTTTCACATTTCCATTCCGCCTCTCTGCCCGTCCAGATACCCGCCGCACTGCAGAACAGTTATCGCCAGTGGGCAGCACCACCTCGCTACTCGCTGTGGAATAGAGAAAACATTGTGCAACCGCTATCGGGCGAGTCTTATATACCCCTTCCTAACTTGAGGACGGCGACGACGACAAAGCCAAGCCTGCCTTGCACAACAGCTCAGCTCCCTCCACCAACTTTTGTATTTTGGCCACATTTATTTATTTTTTTTTTCGCACTTTCTCCAGCAGCCCAGTATTTCTGTATATGCCATCGCGCTCTCCATTTCAAACGCCATCCTGTACTAACAATTGCAAGCACTCTTCCCATACTCTGCCATGTCTGTCCTCTCGCTGGTCGCCTCGTTTTTCCGGTCGTCTCGCAACAACCGCGTCGACAATTCTGCGCACAACGATCCAACCAAATCAACCCGGTTCCGGACCACCGGTGGATCGCCGACACCGCCACAACACATGAACACCAAATCGTCGATGGTCGACTCACGCACCCTGCAAACCAAACCGACAATCAAATCCGGGGTCCATCCTCCGCAACACATTGCTGTCAAATCGGTGCAAAACCGGGCACTGCCTGCGCTCCCCAATGCCAAACCGACCAAACCGCAACAATATCCCGGGTACACATTGGCTGACGGAATGCATCGCGTTCAACAGAAGGCCGAGCCGTGCGACGACCGCGACGGGCACTACATTGTGGTTCCGGGCCGTGAGTTTACGCCGCGGTTCAAGATCCGGAGACTGCTTGGGCAGGGCACGTTTGGCAAGGTTATGGAGTGCGAGGACAGCCAGTCGGGGCGCCTGGTCGCCGTCAAGGTGATCCGGGCGGTGCCAAAGTACCGCGACGCGGCCCGCATCGAGGTGCGCGTGCTGCAGACGCTGCAGCGCAACGACCCACCCAACAAGTACCAGTGCATGCACCTGAACGAGACATTCGAGCACCGCAACCACGTGTGCATGGTGTTTGAGCTGCTGGGCCCCAGCGTGTTTGACTTCCTCAAGGAGAACGAGTTCCGCCCGTTCTCGCTGCATCACGTGCAGCTGTTTGCTGAGCAGCTCCTGCGCAGCGTCGCGTTCCTGCACCGGCTCAACCTGGTGCACACGGATCTGAAGCCAGAGAACATTCTGCTCGAGAGCGGGGCCTATGACCTGGTGCCGTTTGGGCGCAGCCAGACGGTGCAGACCCACATGCTCAAGTCGACCAACATCCGGCTGATTGACTTTGGCAGTGCCACATTCGACAACGAGTACCACTCGCAGGTGGTCTCGACGCGGCACTACCGGGCGCCCGAGATCATCCTGAACCTTGGGTGGTCGTTCCCATGCGACATGTGGTCGATTGGCTGCATCATCATCGAGCTGCTGACCGGCGAGGCGCTGTTCCAGACTCACGACAACCACGAGCACCTGGCTATGATGGAGGTTGTGGTGGGCGCAGCTCCCTCGCACATTGTGCGGGCAACGCAGCCGGATCTGCGCAGCAAGTTCTTCAGGTCCGACGGATCCGTGCGGTACCCACCGCCGGAGCAGCCGCGGGTGTCGCAGAAGGGCGTCCGGTCGATGCGTGCGCTGAGCCAGATTGTGTCGCCGTCGACTAACCCAATCTACGCCAACCTGCATGATTTGCTGAACCGGCTGCTGCAGTTCGACCCCAGGGCTAGGATTACTGCCGAGGAGGCGTGCCAGCACCAGTTCTTCCGGCATCGTGTTGGCCCTGATGGCCGCCTTGTGAGCCGGCCTGCGGCTGTCCAGATGCCTACAGCGCCGATTTCGGCCACTACGTCAGCGTCATCGGTGGCTTCTTCACAGCAGCAACAGCAACAACAGCACCACCACCAGCAGCCATCCCAGCAGCAACAGCCGAAACAACCACAGCAGCAGCCCCAGCAGCAGCCCCAGCAGGTGTATACATCAGGAGCCGCGGCTTCATCGCAGTATCACCCGGCAGTTCCTCCTGGGTACCCGTATGCATCAACTAAGCGCGAGATGCCTCACATTGGCGACTTCCAGCCGCCGCCCAACGCGCCTGCCATGTACACGCAGCCCCACATGCAGCACCCGCAGCACCCGCAGCAGCAGCAGCAGCAGGTACATCAGCAGCAAGCCAAGCACGCACAGTATTATTTTCGCGAGGCTCCAAGCCTGACTGGCCCCCAGATACACCCGCAAGAGCAGGTCGGCAGGCCGCCACCGCATCCGCACCCGTCTGTTCAGATGACTGGGCTCGCGCCGAACTCCAGCTCCAGCGCCGGATACAGCCACCCGGCGGCAAGCTCCATCCACAGCGTGTCCACCGTGACAGCAAGCTCGTCCTATGACCAGCACCATGATTACTATGGGTGGCGGCAGCAGCACAGCAATGGGTCGCAGCAGCAGCAGCAGCAGCAGGCCAGGAAGGCTGGTAAGCCTATTGACTCTGGCTACTTCCCCGACCCACTGGTTCTGCCCGAGTACCAGGCTCCAGTCAGCGCAGGGCTGCCCAGCATGGCGATCCCAGTGTCGCAGCCAGGCCACAGCAGTTCAGTCTATCAGCAACAGCAGTATCGTGGACCGAATGCTTGCAGCAGCCATTCGAGCAGCGGGATGATGGTAGCACATCCGCCGGGCCAGCAGTATCAGTCGTCGGCCAGCCAGATGTACCAGCACCAGCATGCGCAGTACAGCAAGACCACGCTCCCGCCAATGTCGTCGCATCCGAGCCAGATCTCTGGTGCCAGCTCTGCGTCGTCGCTGCATTCGGCCAGCCTGCTGCCGCCCTACCAGCCACAGCAGCAGCACCCGATAGCCGCTATGGGTAGCAGCAG